AATACTGTCTTAATAATATATTCGTGTGTGGTCCCTCTTACCTTGGCTATCTCAACAGTTTGTTTATCACAGTACTTAATATGTATACTAATGAACAACATTTTTAATTTAAAAAAAAGATTATACTTTTAAAATAGTTGATAACATAAAAACAAAATGTATACTTCACAAAAAAACAAAACTTAATGGTAAATTATTTATGTTAAATTTAAAACTATAGTACCTTAGTTACCATAATCAGTCTTAAAGCAAACTTATTAATTAACAGAATCATTTTCAGATACAGAAATGACAATTGTATCCTTCTGTTTTGAACATGCTGGAATACTTTGATACCACTCATGAAATTCTGCAGGAATGGCTTCAGTCTTACACAGTTTCAAGATATCTTTTTTTTCAATGTTAAAACTGGTCTTGGCTTATCATTTAATTGTTTAATATTGTAATATTGTCAGGATATTTTGTGGGTTTTCCTCTTCTACTTACACATATCTGAATAGTTATATTTCAACTCGCCAACGCCAGGCTCAGTTTTCTCATATTTTAAAACTTAAATTTTTAACCAATTAACTTTATAACCTTGCGTATCAGTTGAACAATTTTTTACTATCAATCTTGCTAACCTTTTCAAATCAAGAAAATCATTATACTTAAATTCTTGAACTGCGTAGCTGGAACATTTTTTATTATACCTATTGGACCGAGCGAGTCAATAAATATTCATGTATAGTATAAACAGGAACATTTTTTTTGCTGACTCTATCCACTTCCATGTACGAATGTTCACTTTCCATGAAATTATGTGTTATATCATCAATTTTTGAATGTGTGACAATGTATAAAAATAAAGCTGCTGTATATTGATTCCTATTTTGACCACTGCATGTATCAGAAAACAGGGAAATATTAGTTATATTTACTGGTAGCTGTTCAATCCATTTTGGTAAAGCTGTTCCAATTTCAGAACTTCCCTCTTGTCCATTTAATTCAGTCCATAAAAAACAAAAGGCATAGTTTTCTACTGTAATACATACTAGAGCAGCGATTCCCAACCTCTTTAGCTGTAAGGACCACCAATTTTGAAAAATAATCTTTGAGGCCCACAAATAGCTCACCTATATACGAATGCATAAATATATATATGTATGTATAAACAAACGTCAGTTCTTAGAACTAAAAAGAATTAAAAAATCAATTGTTTATCATGAAATTAAACATATATTAAACTTAATCACAAGTTAAACAATTTGATGTGATTTTTGACATTAGTACCTCTTACTTGTCTTTCGTGAGAGAGTCGATATCGGGGTGAAAACTGTATGGTTTTAGAATTAAAGAATTAAATCACTTTCAACGTTCAGTTTATTTCTATATTTACCTTTAATTATACACTAATGTGATACTATAGACTGTAAGTGATATTGATAAATATTATTATAACCAGAAATATTATTAGGTATATACTAAAAATATATGATAATATTTTTTATAATTTATATTATATATTTATATGGTTCACGGCCCAGTACCACGCTGCTCGAGGCCAACAAGTGGGCCGCGGCCCATGGGTTGGGAACTGCTGTACTAGAGACTTCAGAACTAGGAATTTGTAATACGTTTTGTTTGTTCTATACTTGATCAAACGATCACATAAATCTACTCCAGCCATATTTTCATTATATTGTTTTACAATAATAAGTAGAGGTACATCAATTTTCACTCTTTTCATTTTATTTCAATGTTTACATGCATTAATTGGATTTTTTCCACATTCATTTGAAAGTAAATGTATAGGTTTGTTGTCAAATCATTTAATAAGACATACCTTTGTATGTATTGTATCGTTGTTCCTCTCGATTTTTTCATAAGTATTTTATCTGTAACGTTTTTGGTATATTATTTTTCATAACCGTGCCAGTACTCAAAATTTTCTTTGTTTTCAAAATGTCTAAAAGTTATTGCGTAGTAAAAAATCGATCAAAATAAAGGCAAGTACCTAGAAGTATGGTTTTTGATAAATGAATAACTGCTGACTTACTTACAGTTAGAGAATATTTACTTTCTGTAATAAACAACGAACCTTTACCTTGATATACACAAAAATCTAACACTAATCCATGTTTATTGGCTAAAATAAAGTTTTTTAATACAGTTGGATTAGGTTTTCCTCTTACAAATTGTTTCATTTTAGTATTTCCTGTAAATGGTATTATTTGTTCATCGATACTTAAATGTACATCTCGTACTAACCGGTAGCAGCCAGCTCTTATTGCTTCTAATAACGGACGAACTTTCCATAAAGAATCTTTTCAGATTCTTTGTGGTTTTTTTTCGTTAGTTATTGCATTATCATTTACAACTTTTAAAAAACCACGAATTTTATAAAAACGATTTCTAGACTTAGTATTATTAATAAGAGGTACTCTAATGGTTTTTGATCAAAACATACGCCATTCTTGGATATCCAAGCTTGACATAAATATATTACATTCGATAAAACGTTTCATTTAACCCTTTCTTTAACGAAAGCTTAAAAACGTTAAAAAAATTTAAAAAAATTTGTGAATTTTGATTTTTTCCTATATCTAAGATTGGGTATGAACAAAAAAAAATATTATTTTTGATCCTTATTTTATCCTTGTCCCTTCAGTCCTTTACGGTCTGGACTTATAAGTCCCGTCAGGCATTTAGGTTATTTTTCTTATACATATAAACAATATAAAAAACACGTTTTCCTAAGGATTTTTTTATTTTAATTTTGAAAAAATACAAACGATTACAATTTATAGAAAATTTTATTTTTTTTATATACTTAAGATGTTTTTTTATAATTCATGATACTCAGAAAAGCAGTTTTTTTCATTGACACATAGATGGACCTTGCAATACGAGCATTTTGAATGTGGTCTTGACTCAATACCTTTATTGCTGCATACTTCACATTGTGTTCCGAAAGTTGGATGATGGATACCTAGATTTCCAGTGCGGACGTCTCTTGGCATAGAATAAGCTGATTTTCTTCTTTTTAAATTTTTTTGGATTTGAGCTGGTGATTTTTTTTCTGTGGTAATTGTTTGGTTAGTAAACCTCGTACTACAGCTCTTCTGTATTCCAACACCGGAATTTTCTCAAATAAGGTACAATAAACTACATAAGAATTTACAAACATAATATCGATCAAACCAAAAAACCATCTGTGCCACCACTTGCGAGATTTCCTATCTATATCATACAATGCACGTAATCTGTCAGCATGGTCTACTCCACCCATATATGAATTGTTATCTGAGACAACAGTCGGACATGTTACTGAAACTGAAGTACCGTCCTTTTCTTTCCTGTTTACAGATGTAACTTCAGAACCATGAAAATTAGATATTAAGTTGGCGGCCTTATTATCCGTCTACTTAAAAAATGAAATCCCATCTGGTAAAAATTTGTTATCATGTTCGCCTCTTTTCATTTTTTTGTCTGTACACATCTCTGTCGGTAACCCTTTTCTGTTGGTCCTTATAGTTCCGCAAGCTGGAGTGTTCTCTAGTTTTAGTTTCTGCACTAAAGGTAGTGAAGAAAAATGATTATCAATGTATATTTCTCGGTGTTCGTTCCAAATTGATTTGGTAAGTTCCAAAACAACTCGTTTACCCAGTCCATATTTGTCAAACTCATGGTTTACAATTTCTTATTAACCTTGATAAATTTTGAAAGCTAACATGTATCCTTTTTGATCTGCTATGCTCCAAATTTTGTAACCTCTCTGTACTGGTTTCATCGGATTAAATTGCTTCAATGTTGACCTACCCTTAAATTGCACCATACTTTCATCAACACTAACTTGTCTAGTACCAAAATAGTTACGTTTGAAAGATTCATTAAGTTTATCTATTAATGGTCTTAATTTGAAAAACTTATCTTTGTTGTTTGTAGGCATTAATGTACTGTCATTACAGTGTAGATGAATGAGAATTTTTTCAAACATATCTCGTGACATAGCATTTGACACAAGTTTAACTCCAAGATCATCTGATGTACTCCAATAATCTTTATAAGACGGTAAACGGTTATATCCCATCAAAAAGTTAATACCTAAGAATACTAACATATCTTCTCTCTGTATTCTAATTCCGGGTTGCATGAACATTTACTGAACCGATAAGTCGTTATCGGTTCTGTAAAAATAAAACCGTTCTGTAAAATTGATAAATAAAAAACCAATAAACCGTTATCGGTTCGATAAGTTATAGGTCCGAATTCGGATCTGTAAAATTTGCAGAACCGTTTAAAAGATTCCTTATCATTTAATTTAAAATTTATTATCACTTAAAATTATTATTTATTTATTTTCAACAATTATTAATTTTATCGAATTCCATATTGTTTATTGTTTCAAAACATTTTAAATTTAAATAATTAATTGTTATGTCTTCGTCGTCCTCGTCTGATGATTCCGATGAAGATATTATTCTTCAAATTTTAATAAATCTTCCAAGACCAAGGCGGTTTAAGGATAGGTCAAATCCGTTGCAGGACTATGACGACTTGGACTTCAAGTGTCGCTTTAGGTTAGAATTTTTTTATGTCTGTTGTTTTCATTCTGCTGATTTTAACAGTTTTTAATAAATTGTGTCATTTGCTGTTAATAGATTGTCGAAGGAAACATTTATGATACTTTTGCATATGATCGGTGATTCTATTAAACATAAGACAAATAGAAGTTCATCTCTATCACCTGTACTTCAACTTTTAATTGCTCTGCGTTACTATGCTACTGGAGCATTCCAAGTATTTTTCAGAAACACAAATTATATAATTTATAAATAAGAAGTACAGTACGGTTTTTAATTATAGATGGTGTTAGGCGATCATATTCAGGTTCATAAATCTACTGTTTGTAGAGTTATTAAAACAGTGTCCACAGAAATTGCTCGATTACGTCCACATTTTATTGAATTCCCTAGTACTGTTGCAGAGCAACAAAGAGTTCAATTAGGATTTTTCAGATTACATCAATTTCCTCGTGTTATTGGTGCCCTAGATTGTTCGCATATCAGAATACAATCACCTAAAAGTGATATCGGCGAACAGTTCCGTAATCGTAAAGGGTATTTCTCTTTCAATGATGTGATAGCAATTTAAAAATATTGGATATTGTAGCGAGGTATATTTAAATCGTTTTTAACTTCATTAAAATAATCATCCATTATTACGTTTCTTGTTACTTTTCTATTTTTATTTAGATGGCCTGGATCTGTCCACGATAGCACTATCTTTGATAATAGCTTGATACGAGCAAAATTTGAAAATAATGAGTTTGGAAATACTTTTTTGCTTGGTGATGGAGGTTATCCTTGTAGAAATTATCTCCTAACTCCTTTATTGAATCCAAGAACTGAAGCTGAACGCAAATATCAAGTATATTTTGAATACATTTAAACGCTAGCGCTTGCCACACTTTTTTCAGTGGCGTGCCGAGAGGAGGAGGTTATGGGTTATAACCCCACCTATTGCCTTTTTTTATCCAACCTACAGTAAAAAAAACAACTCATTCGAAATGTATACCTCCTCTTTTGTGTTTGGTGGGGTTAAGTTTGATTTACCTTTACCTAAAACTGTTTTAATTTATAACTTACAACTATAGTCTATAGGTATACCTACCTGGCTAACGGCACTGCTTTTTTTTTTAAACTATTATTTGTTTTGATAGAAAGCTCAAATTGGTTCAAGGAATGTAGTGGAAAGATTGTTTGGGGTTTTAAAGAGAAGATTTCCTGTTCTAGCAGTTGGAATTCGCACAAAACTAAGTACTACTATGGCTACTATCGTTGCTACAGCAGTTCTGTATAATTTTCTTCTAAAAGAAAAAGATGAGATACCTCAAGAAATTGATAATCATTTAATTGATATTGAATTACTTCAAGAGATACCAACCTTGCCTATTCGACAGTTAGGAAATGCTGAAAGATCACATTTAATAAATACTGTGTTTTCTTGACATAATCATTAATTTGTAAAATATTTTAATTTTTTAATTTTTAAAACATTTTTTGGTTTAATTGTCTATTATTCATTTTTTAGATAACTTTCTGTAACAAACAATATAAAAATTAACTGAATACCTATATAACAAAATAAAATTAAGTAAATCTAGATACATTAATAAAAATAAATGATAATTATAACATCCTGTTCAATAAAATTAGTAAACTTTAAACAAAATAATTAATAAAAACTTTAAATTAATCAACAAAATGAAACTTATTGTTCTTACAATATATCCTAATTTTTTTTACTTATTTTATAGCTTAACAAAAGGTTATTTTTAATTTTAAGGTAACTTTCTGTATTATCAAATTTAGATAAAAATAAACTTTTACTATACATATTATAATAAAATAACAAACACACATATATGAATGACTTACAAATTAATTATTAATTGTTTTGAAAGAATAGTTTCTTTCATTTTATTCTGTCTTAGTTCAGACTCAAGAATTAGTTCTTTTAATTTGTTTTGCTTGAGTTCTGAATCACACTTTTGTTGTTCAGTATCATATCTTAGGACCATGATCTTTTGTTCCATTTCTGTAATTTCTAACTGCAGTTTTGATTTTTTTATTGCTAACAAATTCAAATTGTCTTTTAGCTTTTCTTTACTTTCAACTATATCCAAATGTTTGGAAGTCAAAAGGTTTAGTCCTTCATAAACCTTTTTTGCAGAAGACTCATGCTTTTTGTTTATATTTTGTTCCACAGTTGCAGGATGACTAGTGGCGACGTTATGAGCAACAGATTGTTTGTCCAATATTTTTACCAATTTGTTGCTTGGTGCTAAAAGTATTTCTGGAGATCTTTTTTTTGTAACTGGTTTCTCAATTAAATAGGGGTTTTCATCAGAGTTGTTAAATAAGTCATCTGATAAATCATCTTCATTTAATGTTTGAATAATGAATTCATCAGGTGGGTTATTAACATCTAAAAGTTATAAGATAATAATAAAATATAGGTACCAACATCTACAGTTTAGAATAAATAACTATGATAAAATTCATTATACATACTTGGATAGTCAGAATCACAATCATATTGGTTAGATAAAGGTTCTAAACGATCACCTAGGATTCCAATGACTTTGTCTGTTGTACTTGACAGCATTGATAAATTACGACCACCACCAGTTTTGTAAAGTTCAACCTAAAATGTTCAATATTTTAATTTAAATATTTCAAAAACAATAAATAAATTGAAATGATTATAGGTACCTTATAATCACTTTTGTCTTTTCGAGCCTTTCTTTTTTGAACATCATATACAGATTTCAATTGACGAATGGTTCTGATACCAGTAATTTGTTGGCAATTGTGTGTATTTGCAATTTCACCCCATGCCAAATCTTTTTCTTTATTTGTTGCACCATCAGTCTATACATTTTAATATTGTATTACTAACATATTCTGAACACCAGAAACATGCAAATTTGACTTTTGAAACTGTATTCATTCATAAAATTGTTGTAGAAAATAGAATCAATAAACAGTAAATAATAATAAAGCATGTTATTCTTACCTTGATATTTTCAATAATATGTTTGTATGGCAAAATAAGATCGATTAAAATTGATTTTTCTGTTTCGGTAAAATTCTTGCCCCTTTTTTTGTCGTCTTCCATAACTGTTTCATTCAACCCGGTAATTATTTAAATATTTAATTATTTAATTATTAAATTAAATAAAAGCCATATAGTTTTAACAAACACATTACAACATTTACAACACGGAAAATAAAAATATTTAACAACTGTCAATTAATTATTAAATAACCACAACATTCTTATCTCTTCAAAAAAAAATTATTATCTTAGATAAGAATAATATTTATGTACTACTGAATACCAGATAACTGGTTATAAACTGATTATTTGATACAATTTATAAAACTTTCATGAAACGCAATCTGTTCTTTAACTTCCATTATTTTACTATCAATATATTATCGGTTCAACAATTTACGGAACTGTTTCATGCAACCCGGCATAAGTGTTTTATTTTTCTGTGTGCCATATAAGTCTGTTTGATAAACCAAATCATTCAAAATTGATTCAACAAATACCATAAATACATCTGTAGGGGTGTGCATTTCCAGAAAGGGTTAAGTTGATGTCACTAGTATAGATTTTCCTGTTTCTACAACACTTAATATTAGTGCAATTTACCATATTTTCAATAGTTTTTTCGTTAGTTTATTGATTAAAATAATTTATAGGGGCCTATTCATATCTTTCTGAGTCATTATATTCATCACGTGAAGAACGAATTAATTTCTTTTTGGGTTTAAAATGATTTGTTCTTAGTCATTTCATGGTATTTATATATTTAATTTGTTGTACGTTTCGATTCAAATTATTATTAGAATTAATTACTGTGTAAGTGTCAATCTGACTCGCATCTACTGATTTATAAGTAAATGCTGTTCTGCAGTTAAATAATATTACCTATCAAAGAACTGAATTCTTTGTCTGCATCTTTGAGCAGCATGATACAACAATAACTTCTGAAGAGTTACATTATTTTATTGTAGCACTATATGTTTTTATTTCTTCTAAGGTACTTTACTCTTCTCGGTCCGCACAAAAAAAGATTGTTTGCAAGGGAAAAATCTTCACAGTATTTTAATTAATAATTTTCAATCACGGTTTCGTGTCGGTGATTTTCATGATACATTTTTTTTCATGAATCTTAATTTTATGTACATTCATATTCAGTGTTGGTAATATTTGAGTAAGTATATAATATAAATAATGAGTTGCATACATTTTGTATCTTTTGTTGCGATCTACCGCGTATAGATACCGTTGATGAGATAGGGGATGAAGTAGTGTTGTATAATAATTAAAGTAGACTTGACTATTTATTAAAAGTTAATTCAAAATACGAGGTGTTAAAAGTTGAAATGTTGTACATTTTGTTGTATCAGGATACTTTAATCATAAAATATTCTAAATGTCTTGAAAATAAACGATATCAGCTCGTTTATTTTTTAAGTTTAAGATATTGCTGATCAAAATTATTCGAATTAAATATTGCAAAATATGGGCTATTCCTATATAGACCTACCCTCAAGCTAATCAAGAATTTATTTCTAGTAATTATTAATGGTTTATTTTCTTTTTGTGATCCATATTGATCACATGTATGTATAAACTCAGATACATTTTTCGTACCTGTACAGACCTTAATAAGAGCAGAAGCTTTGTGTAAATCGCCTGCGTCATTGTCTTATGTTTTATTCTTTGTAATTCTAAGTGTACTACTACCGAATCAGTTCGTGTTCTCCTTCTTCTTAATTCATTCGTTTTACTTGAGGGTGATTTACATGTTATAAGGTTGTTATTTATTGCTGCGACGATGTGAAAAATCGTCTAATATTAGAGGAAGTTTTATGTGTTTTTTGAATTGTGGTAGATGTTATTTGGTTGTTTTGGAATAAAATATTGAAAATGAAATTTGTGCGGTTCGCAAATGGCTTGCCGCTGAAGTGATCTCTCACTGTCGTTTATAAAAAGTGTTCTTCGACGCTGGTGTCTTGGTTCCGTATGAATCAGTTTGGATGAAGGATAGATTTTAAGTAAATTGAACAAACGACTTTATTCGTTAATTATGAGTTATTTATTAAAGTTTATTAAAATATAAGTTTGAGGACGGAGCGAAAAGTTTCTGCCCCAGAATTTGGTTTATCCTATAATACTGGGAATGACGGCGATGTTGAGGACCAGGCTCAATGACCAAACTAAGTCCTACAAATGTAGGATGTTAGACTAATTCTAAATCCGCTATGGGAGAGTTCTGTATTTATACATAATCTCTTTTGGTTTACAAGTACATGGTAGAGACTAGGAGGTGGTTAAATAAATCATTGACTAGGAGTTGTTGTCGTCGTCGGCTGGATTCTTAGAAATGAAAATGCCCTTTATTATTGCCCTCTCTCCTCTGCGATTATCTGGTATATTGAACGGGTAACGCACTCATCTTTCTATACGTTTACGTTTCCCGAATTATTATTTATTTCTACTCTCATCATTACATTTTTATAGCAATCATTTATATTATGGCCTATCCGATTACAATATGTGCACATTACTGCTTGCGATGTATTATAGTTTGTGGGTGGCCTAGTGAAATTATTTCCATTAGATTGAAGATTTTTTTTTTTTTTTTTTTTCATTGAACTTAAGCCCGGCGACTAAGGCCATTAGCTGTTGTAGGGGTTATGAACTGTGGTAGGGGTAAAGTTGGTACGGTTGGTTTTTTTTTACGATTATTACGGTTGTTACGGTAGGTAGAAAACACGTGTATGTGTGGCAAGGTTTTGAACTACTATGAACTCGAGTGGTCACCCATCCGAGAACTAGTAGCTGTGGCCGTTACTTACTCACAGTCG